TTTCAAGTCTGCCATGTAAGCAATGCAGGGTTAAATCCACCTTTAGTGGCTGTCTTCCAATTAGCCACTAGCAACACTTTCCCTATGAGGTGCATTGGTTTGGACACTGGCGAGAGAGACGTATGTTGTCACAGGGGGCAGAGTAGCTGGTAGTGCCAAGGGATACTCGTGCTGGTGTAAAAGGATGTATAAACCCTATTTTTTTAATTTTTGCTCCAATCGGGAAGAGGACCTAAAACAAACCTGCAAATTGGCCATTATAGGGTTACGAATACAGGTTTGTATTCCTAACGCTATAGTGTCTGTTGTGGACAAAAATATTAACCCAATCCATGTTAGTAAAATGCCTATTTACTCAGTAACTACAATCAGCATTATTCAACCTCACATGTGATTTACCTAAAATGGCCGCTAGGGAGTTTCCCTTTGACATCGACTAACACCCTCATTAACAAGATGGCGCTGGAATCTGGGGGAGACCTCCAAGATACCAGTGACATCACACCCGGTAGGAAGAGCACTAAATGAACCACTTAACACCTAACCAATTATTGATGTATTATTCCATGTTATCTCTGACAAAGCATATGATGTAATTTTGCTTTATAAGGGACATGCCGTCCCCTCAAAATAAACATTCCTGAAGTTTTTGATTAACCCAAAACCTGTGTCTGGTGTGAATTACTTTAGGAGCGTGCACGCATTACTTCTTTAATTTGGCCGGGGGCAGATACGCAAGATAATCAATTAATTGATTGATTCGACATCAGTGTCCCTTTAAAGACAACCTTCGCTACACTATGATTTACAGGCCTGCAACCTAGGAAAGTCTTACCTTCACAAGTCTTCCCCAATGGCGCATGTGATGGTGTCACAGGTAAAATCTCGTTGGTGAAAATCATCCTGGGGATGCACAGTGACTGGTAGTGATTAAAGATGCATTTTTATTTAGTGATCATACCACATATCTAAACTTCTCTAGAATAGAGATTCTCAACCAATCAGTTACTAAGTCACACCAACAGTACAGGATTTGCCCTAATCCCACTTGAACAGAATTTTTTTTTAAAAATGTCTAAATCCTGGATTATTAGTGTTGCTTGAACACTGGGTTGGACACCGCTATTCTAGAATGCTATCGCTTATCTAGAATTCTATGGAGTGATTTAATTGTGAGGTGTCCTATAAAAACACAATAATTATGATGTCATCAAATCATCGTTATTTTGTATATATTTTTTTACTTTCAGTATGATTTAACTTTACAAAATGCCAGGGCAGAATACTGAGAAATTATTTTCTGATACATTTGCTGTGATTTATGTCTGTCCTTCAGGATATAAAGACATAAAACAATTTATAGTGAGCGTTTTGACTATCTATCAAGGCCTGGTATTACATAAAATAATAAATACATTCTCTTTCATTACATAAAAGGGGGGAAAAAAGTGACTAGAGATTTCGACTTTCTGCCAGCACTACACTTTTAATCTAATTTGCATATAAAAAAGATGGATTTTCCCAAGATGCATTTCTCCCACATCTAGAAGATAAAAGGCTAAGTCGCAGTTCATTTTTTCGGTTAAATAGAATTTGACATCTGTGATGTATGATGATTAGGATATGTCAATTTTTAAGGAGAACCTCACTAGCTCACTGTCACCCTGGCCAACAGTCACTGCCAATTTCACTACAAACAAATCTGAAAAATTCCTTTAAGTAATATTTAGCACAAAAGCCATTTCCCTGCAAATAAATAAATAAATGTTCTGAAAGGCCTTGAAAGAAAGCTGTTATCTAAATCAAGGCTCACATTAAATCAGGCGACATTTTATCAGTCATCTTTACTGTTCTGCCAGAAGGGGCTTCAACGCCATAGTGTATCTCTCTGATAGAGAAAATTTGGAATTAAATGGGCGGTATCAGTTTTTCGGGAAAATTGATATATCATCCATCATTGCTTTTGGAGTAAAAGAAAGCATTGTTACTTTGACATTTAGCTTGCGGCCAGCAGAATCTCAGAGCTTTGTGGGCCATTATCTCAGATGGGTATGAAATGCCACTCAAGTTGCTTTTGATAGAGTCCTGTTCACTAAATGGTGAAATGTTTTATTCTGTCAAATTTCTAAATCTAAGTCAAAACAGTCAGGATGGAGAAAGCACTGACGTAACTTATACACAGTTTTACTGTCACATACCTCCCAAGTGTCCTTATTTTAAGAGGGACAGTCCCTATTTTGAGACCAAGTCCCTCTGCCCCTCTTTTCTTTCCTAATTCCCCTCTTTGTAGGAGCTCCAGATTGTTTGTATCTGAGTGCATAACAGAGCTTAACAGCAATAACACTCACTGTAATAAACGTGTTTAGAAATCAGTCTGTGTAACTATTTTAGTTGCATAACGTGTTATTAGTAAGTCAACAAAAATTTCTCAGAACAGTCCCTCCCTTGGACTCACCTCCACTCAAACCTCTAAAATTAAAGTGTCCCTCTTTGTCCATTTGAATTGCTGATGGGTCTAATCTCAGAGTATGCATTGATGAGTTAATTGGCAAAATTTTTAACATTTTAGCCCAAAAAAGCCGAACTGCGAACCCCAATGAATTGTGTTTTATTTTCCAATTCAACAGTTTTTTACCTAAAATTTGTAACCGACTGAGTAGTAGTTCTGTCGAGCTCTGCGATACACTTACGAAAACTACACATTATTGTTTTAATGTCATAGAGCTTTTGTAATAAACAGGAAAGGGGGATTTGGGTGCCATAGAAGAATTGTAACTCTTAAAGAAGCTCCCCTGGGAGAGGTTTGCCTTTTGTTTCCATTTCATTTGACTTTGACATGACCTTCAGATTGTTCTTCTCACTGAGCGTTAGAAAGATCTTCATCGAAATTAATCATGTTGTCTTTTAATGATATATGTTTAATAATGACATATTGATTTGCCATTAATATGCGATGAAAACTATTGTACAAAGGGAATACTGTTATTTCTGTATTTTTTTTAAATGTCAATAGTGAGAGGTGATAGATTGGAACTGTAATGATTGCTTCCCGTTCTATATCCTTGCAACATGTTGCGAACCCTGCATTTTTATCCTCCCCTTGAATTATTTTATGCGAGAAAATCTAATACATACTGAAATGATATTGTGATTATACTTGAAGATTTCTGCTTTTGAAAGGGACACTGTGTGTATTTTCTCTGAACTGTAGAGAAATCGCGGAACCTATTAGAAATAAAGGAATGTTACCTGGCTAAGAATAAAATCATTTCATATTCCCTTTGAAAAACCAATCACCTGTAAAGGTTTTACATTACTGATCAAATAATAATAACTGCGGATTCTTAAAAGGGTCCAGCCGCTTTAAAAAAATAATAATTAATAATAGGTTTCAAACCACTACATAAACTGGGAAACACTACCAGGGCTAGGCCATGTTCTGCACTTCAGATGTCATGGACAACATCTCCCCTGATGCTTTGCCAGCACTACGCTGGCCTTCACTAGACGTTCTGGGCCTTATCTGGCCTTTTTATATCTTCTGCGAAACATTATAAAGATTTAAAGGAGAAACAGCTAAAGAATTGTAGTGATTAAAATAGTGTCAAGCTTTATAAAGAGCTCATGTGTGACCCTTTTACACCTTCCCAGCTGTCAATCAGACAGACAAGGAGTGCCCTTCCTGAATACTTTGTGTCCAAGTACAAAGCGGAAGGAACTGCTGCTCAAGGAGATGACCATCTATGATTATTGTCTGGGATCTCCCAGTGGACTGGATAACCTCTTTATTTAGCAGTTATTGAGGGGAAAGAGTGCTCAGGAGACTCACCAAGACTCCACCATTGTCAATAAAGGTATTTATTTATAACACTGGAATATTACTTTAAATGAGCAGATCATTAATTAGGAATAAGAGGACAACAGACTGGGAAACAGTCATTGGCAGAAGAGACAGGAGATGTTAACTTCGAGAGCATTAAAATGATCTTAAAAAACTGCTAAACTGTTAAAAACTGACCTGCAATATATAGATAGCTATTTTGTGCATTGTAATAATGTGTAATGTTTCTTTTACTGACTACAGGCCCACTTTAAATATTTATTCTTCACTATGTCAGAAATGTCAATATAAGACAAAACTAAAGGAAAATTTAAATTATTGCATTTCTTTAGTTTTAAATTATTTGCTTCCACTAAAGTTGAATATATGTGTTATTTTTTTATTTATTTTTTTATATCAACATGTCTCTGAACGTCTCTTTTTAGCAGTGACAATCTGTTCAACCGGGAAACTGTTCACATATTTCAGCCAATCCTCGTCCCTCCAGAACTTCATACAGGAAGATTGCCGAGCATACACACAGATACACACTAATTGATTTCTCATTCAAGCTGGTAATAAACGTGGAAAACATGTAAACTGATACCTCTGGCTTTTCACTCACTGTATAAAAGGGCCAATGTGAGCTTGTTACTGGCTTCAATGAGAATAAAAATCACATTATCATTTAGTGGGAAATGTCTGCAATGGGAAATGCACAACTGGGTTAATCTTCAAAGTGCCTTATCACTTTCTCTTGGAAAGCAAGCTGCTAAAGATTTTTTTGCACAATTAAAAGTATCATCGTGATTCCCATTGTACAGCGCTACGGAATTTGATGGCGCTTTATAAATAATAAAATAATAATAATAATAATGATTCCCATCATCGAAACCTAGTCTTGCATTTTCAGAATTGCTATTTTTCCATAGGTTAGCCAAGAAATGGAAAGATAAAAATGTTAGCAGACTGCATTTACAATCTATCACTAAAAGGAAATATTACCGCTAGCGATTAATCATATGCATGCGACCCTTTGAAAGCACAAGATAATGAACGAATAAGGTCAGCACTTTAAGGATTAAAAAAATTTGAGGTTGAAAGCAAGGCGATGCAATATAAATATGCTTTATTTGATTCTTGGATTGCTATCGCCACCATCAGGTCATAAACCAGTTCACTAACAGCAAAATTGTAACATGGAAGGCAGAAAGGCTGTGATATCATTGTGTTTTCTATACTTTACAAAGGGGGTGTCCAAAAGGTAGATCCCCAATTGTTGTAGAACTACACCTCCCATGATGCTTTGCATGCCTTTAGAATGACAAAGCATGATGGAAGCTGTAGTTTTGAAACAACTGGGGATCTTTTGGGCACCCCTACTTAACAACGTCAGCATGTAAAACATTTTGTAAAGATAATATGGTATTCAATGCCTTGCAATATTTTAGAAAGGGTCTGAAATACGAGTATAAAAGGAGTAATACTTTATTTGTCAAGTTAAGTTGGTAAAAATAAAAATGATCGAATACCTTGATTGTGGTTATTGTAACCTCCTGGAATTTACGAGAATGCACTTTTCTAAAGATTCCCCAGAAATCCCCAAGAATCTGAACATACGTCTCTGTATGTCGGCATAATGCCCACACATAGTAAGTCCTGTTACACCGAGCTTCTCTTAATTACAGACACAAAGAATTGGTCTAACACCGAGCACGCTCTGATCTTCCTAGCCTATCTCCCCTACCCAGCTGCTAAAATGGAGCTATGAAGTTTGACCTCAAATGGTTTCTGTGTAGAGTGATGCAAAGGGAGGGAGAGGGACACAATGGAACCCTGATAAAAAAATATATCATTTTCTCTGCAGGGTTGAACCCAACACTGGAGCAAAGTGGAGGTAGTGGGGATGTATGGGTTAACTTTAAATTTGCATTGTTCTGCAATGTAATGGTAATTGTTGAGAGGGAAGGGGTTAACTTTCTCCAAACTTGGCAGCAATGTGCCTGCATTGATCAGCCATGCCTAAGTCGGCAGGGATCTGTCTGCAGTGACTGAACGTGTCTAACTTGGCAGAAATCTGTCTGCAGTGGCTGATCACATCTAACTCTGCAAGAAGCATACCTCCCAAGAGTCGCTCTGAAATACTACATTAATACACTAAATCAATAGTTCAATAAAAATAACACAGTGAAATCAGAAGCATGCAAAGAAAAAATAAATAAATTGGCCAAGCGTAGAACACTGCAGTGTCTAAAATGTACATTAATCAAAGTGCAACCAGTGCTAACAGACAAGAAAAGAGGCTTGTCCTCAGTGTATTACATTCTCAGCAAATAGAGAACTTACTGTCAGAGCTGGATTAACCATAAGGTGACTTGGGTGACTACCAAGGGCCCAGGCTCAGACAGGGCCCCAGCGTGCTCATGTCTCAGGTTGGAGCCCCAGCTCGGGCTGTGAGGGGACTCTCCCTGAGTTGGCAGGGAGATTAAAAGACTCTCCATCTGCTTAAGGGAGCATTGAGGCCTGCACCAATATGCAGGTGCAGATCACTTTAAGAGCTCCCTCGTGGTCCCCGGCACATCTCGATGACTGAGAGCAACACGGCTCTTAAAGAGAACCTGATATTGGTGCAGACCACAGCAAATCCTTCAATTAACCACCTGGTATTCTGCTCCTCAGCTCACCCGCCACTGGACCTCTAGGGATCCAGTTCAGAGTGTTCTCCATCAGACCACAAGGGATAGCAGCCCCTCCTGGTAGAATGTAAACAGGAGGGGAGCAAAATAACTACTTCCCCACACACACAACACTCAGACACACACACTCAGCTATACTCAGACTCACATACACACACACACACTCAGCTATACTCAGACTCACCTACACACACAACACTCAGCAATACTCAGACTCACCTACACACACAACACTCAGCAATACTCAGGCTCACCCACACACACACACACACACACACACACACACTCAGCTATACTCAGACTCACATACACACATACAACACTCAGCAATACTCAGACTCACATACACACACACAACACTCAGCGATACTCAGACTCACCTACACACACACACACACACACTTAGCAATACTCAGACTCACATACACACACACAACACTCAGTAATACTCAACTCAGCCCCCCCCCTCCCCCCACATACTGCTGAGAGCCTCCTTTATACACAAAATACAGCCACTACACATACTCTCATACACAGAATACTCAGTCTCCCACACACACACAACACTCACAGACCAGGGCCCAAGGTCCTGGGAGGAGGTCCCAATCTGGCATCCTGAGTAGAGCCCTGGGCAAACTTAATCCGGCTCTGCTTGCTGTACCTCCTTCTACTGAAATGAATATGTACACATATTAGTGATTTATAAATACAATATGCATACAATGTATACTTACTACTACGCTGTAACTCTACTGCAATGTAACATGTACACATATTAGTGATATATAAATACAATATGCATACAATGTATACTTACTACTACGCTGTAACTCTACTGTAATGTAACATGTACACATATTAGTGATATATAAATACAATATGCATACAATGTATACTTACTACTACACTGTAACTCTACTGAAATGTAACATGTACACATATTAGTGATATATAAATACAATATGCACACAATGTATACTTACTACTACGCTGTAACTCTACTGAAATGTAACATGTACACATATTAGTGATATATAAATACAATATGCACACAATGTATACTTACTACTACGCTGTAACTCTACTGTAATGTAACATGTACACATATTAGTGATATATAAATACAATATGCATACAATGTATACTTACTACTACACTGTAACTCTACTGAAATGTAACATGTACACATATTAGTGATATATAAATACAATATGCATACAATGTATACTTACTACTACGCTGTAACTCTACTGTAATGTAACCTTAACGTGCTTGTTAATTCTATGCACACAAAATATAAAAATATACATAAACTGCATAACGTGTGCAATCACAGTATCTCCCTCTACTGTACTGTAACCTGTAATGTGTGTGTACACACACACACACACACACACAGTAAAGTATCTCCCTCTAATCTTACATAGTTCTCCGTATTTGCAGCAGTATTAAAATACCAGTTAAATGGCAAAGCATAGTACTGCTGCCCTCTAGAGTGCAAATTTAGAATGCATAATTCCTTCAGTGATATAAAAAATGACTGTAATTTAAAATCAGATAGAAAAAAAAAATGAATGCTTTCTTTAACAGTCATCACAAACACAGTAAATGAAATATAAAAACAGAATTCATGTCACGGAGAGAATGGAAGCAGCCAATGTGCAGCTTAATGTAGTAGTTTTAGTGGAAAGACCCTGTCCCTGCAGTGTCTGCATTGCTGTTTGCGAGAAATGTCAGTGTTTACAAATGTCGTCACGTGGTTAGGACGCAATGCCCGCCTCCAGGAAGTGATTTGATGTCGATTAGCCCATAGTACTACAGTCGGCGGCGGACTGATAGGTCTGGTCAGGGTGGCTCTAGACTTTGCGAGGCCTTAGGAGAAACTCAAACATGAGGCCCCCACTAACACCATCAGTGAAAAAATAGGGGTTGACTTGTGTGTGTATAAGGAGCTGTAGATATAATGAAGGGCAGGCTTGCAGCATTGGACACAGAAAGGTAGTCTCTATATTCATCTTCAGAGGCTTGCATTGTCGCAGCTCCCTATACCGCTGCTTTGTGAGCTCTTTGACTGTAGTTATAGCATAATTTGCAATTATTGCTAATCATTTAATCACGATTGCTGGGTATGGTTGTGTAGCCTGAGAGTCGTGTATACATAAGTGCCAGTGTAAAGGGGTTATTTAAAACAAAATTAACATTTTGGTTCAGGCTTTTAAAAAATCATTTACCAAAAAATAAAGTTACAGATAGTAAAATAATGTCATAGACATTTCCCCCACATATTCTATAATCCTTTACATGTATATTATCGTATATGTGTTTCCCTATGTATTGTATATGTATGTTTGCATATAATATATATGTTGCTTGCAACTTTACCTTTGCATTACCCATGCCATACCACAACCACATAGCAGACAGACACACACACACACACTTATACATGCACACATTTAAACACTAGTACACAAATACATATACACACTGATACATGCACATGCATACACACACACAAACACACTGATGCACCAGTGGCGGATCCAGAGCCTGATCTCGGGAGGGGCACTTGTAGATTATTTAAAGAAATAATCCGGACACAATAACCACTACAGCTCAGTGTAGTGGTTATGGTGTCAATAGTGCCAGGACCCCCTCCTAGAGTAAGTAGTCAAACCGTTTAAGAACAGTTTGACAACTTACCTGAGGTCTGCTGGGAAATTTGGCTGTAGTAGGCCATAGGAGCAGTGGTGTGTGTGAGTGGTGCAATGTGTAAGGGGTGCAGTGTGTGTGTGTGTGTGTGTGAAGGTTGTAGTGTGTGAGTAGGGGGGGCAGTGTATGTCAGGGGTGCAGTGTATGTGTGGGACAGTATGTGTGTGACAGTATGTGTGTGTAACAGTTGCAGTGTGTGTGTGTGTGTGAGTGTGGGCAATGCGTGTGTATGGGGCGGCAGTGTATGGGGCAGTGTGTGTATGGGGGGCAGTATGTGTGTATGAGGGGGCAGTATGTGTGTATGAGGGAGCAGTATGTGTGCATGGGGGGCAGTATGTGTGTATGAGGGGACAGTAT